TTCACTTGTTAATAGAATATTTCTAGATTTCTATTACAAGAAAACTTGCATTGAACATTTGCACAGAAGTATCTGGGTGAACACATTTTCATTTCTCTGGGGTTGGGGGTTGAGGAAGGGTTGGGTCATGTTTTATGTTACAAATTTAACTTTTTATTTTATTTTTTTTGGTACTGGGAATCGAACTTGGGTCCTTGCACTTGCAAGGCAAGGCGACAGCACCATTGAGCTAAATCCCCAGCCCTACAAATTTAACTTTTAAAGAAAATACCAAATTCTTTTTGAGAGTGGTTATACCATTTTACATTACAATCAACAGAGTACAGGAGTGAAAGGCAATCAATATTCTTTGGTAGAATCTTTTTAATTTGAACTATTCTAATAGATATGCACTGATAATGATATATATTTCCCTGAGACTAGTGGCACTGAGCATTTTTCATGTACTTATTGTAATTTATACAACTTTTTTGCAAAATATCTCTTCAAATTTTTATTCAGTTCTTTGTTGCCGTGTAAGTTGTAAGTTCTTCATATATTCTTGATATAGCCAATCTGTCTTGCCTTTCTTTCCTTCCTTCCTTCCCTTTTCTTTCTTCTATCTTCTCTCCCTTCCTGCCTTCTCCCTCTCCCTCTTTTTCCTTGATACCCAAAGTGTGTTGATTCACACCCTTGCCCTGTTTTTACTTTAAGACAGGCTCCTGCTAGGTTGCCCAGGCTGGCCATGAACTTCTGAACTTCCTCCCTCAGTCTTCAGAATAGGTAGGATTATAGGCACATGCACTGTGCCAGGCACAAACACTTTTCTTCAAATCTTGGGGGTTGCCCTTTGGTTTTCTTGAAAATATCTTTCAGAAGCTGGGCATGTAATCCCAGCACTTGGGAGGCTGAGGTACGAGGACTGCCACAAGTTCAAGGCCAGCTGGGACTACATAGTGAGACTTGTCTCAAAAACAAAGTAACCTTTTCAAATGGTGGAATTTTTGTAGTTTATAATGTTGGGGATTGAGAAAATTTATACATGAGGATGGCTAATAAACAATTCAACTTTAGTAATAATAAGAAAAATATAAGCAAAAATTTAAATGCTGTTACTGTTACAAACACACAAGATTACCAAGAATTAGCACATCTTGTATAAATTGGTAAAATCCCTTTCAAAACAATATGGCATTATGTGATAAAACTGAAGAAATACATGCTCTATAACTCAATAATTCATTTCCTACGTATGTTCCTGTGGTGGACTAATAATCAATTTGTAACACCCAGCTGAAATGAAATCAATGTGGGCATGGAGGATCCACCTGAGAATTGTTATCAATATCCATAAAAAGAACTGGAGGGGAAGATCGTGGTCTTCTAGGAGAAGCTTGCTGCAGATGGTTTTCCTGATGAGAACTAGGCTGTTCTCATTGGAGGAGGAGCTCAGGGCCTCACTACTGCTGGGAAGGGCTGCTCTTTTCCTCAGGGAAGCACAGATCTTCACTGTGAGCATCACTTCCTGGCTCCAAAGGGGATCCCTCAGCTTGGTGGCACAAATCCTTCATCTCACCGGCACAGGTTTTCTGGCTTCCACCACTGGCCTTCGGGTCTTCCAGGTGCAGATCCTCAATACAGATAAATGCAATACTGTGGGCTCTAGGCCACTGGCTGCACTTACAGAGGACACGGCTTGGACTCTAAACCTTTAGTTGAACTTGTGTGGAAAACTGCTGGAATCCAGACTCTCAGCTGGATTCCTTGGGCCTCTAGTGTGTGGTTAATCTCTTGGCACTCCTCTGCATTTGATTTTTTGGGTAATTGTCATAAAATAACCCAATAAACTACGTGTCCTATAGTAAATGTATTACCTTAACAAAACCTTGACTACAACAGTTCCCTAAAGAAAATTCATAGAAGTTTATTCATAGCAGCATTGTTCAGAATTGCCTCAAATACAATCCCAATGTCTATTAATAATGAACTGTGGTATATTCAATCAATAGGATAGTATATACTTTGTTTTATTGAGAATGAATGAGCCACAGTTCCATGTATGGGTATAGACAAATCACAAAAGTCTAATATGACAGAAATAAGTCACAAAGAAAAATAGCATGATTCCTTTTATGTGAATTTCTGAATATAAATGTAAAAATTTAAACTGGCATTTAAGATACATAGTATATAGTTAAAAGATAAAAAACTAAACAGGAAAAAACACAAATGTAGAAGAACAATAATCAGGGCCAGGGATTTAGCTCAGTGGTTCCGCTGCCTGCCTTGTAAGTGCAAGGACCGGAGTTCAATTCCCCCATACCAAAAAAAAAACAACCAAACAAACAAAAAACAATAATCATATTGGGGGTTTTATCTTGGGACATGGTAAGAAAATAATCCATAAAGAGGGGTACAAGGGTAGTTCTTCAGTATGCATAAGCAGTTCATTTTGTAACCTGAGTGGTAGTACCATGGGTCTTTAAAAATACATTCATCTGAGTGCCGGGGATTTGGCTCAGTGGTTCTGCCACCTACCTTGCAAGCACAAGGTCCCAAGTTCGATCCCTAATACTCCCCCACAAGAAAAACACAGTTACCTGTTTTATAAGCTGTCCTGTAGGTATAACATAAATCACTACAATCAGGGACAGACAGCCTATGAGTGAGCCTTAAAACTTAAAGAATAGCTACTGATATAGGAAGAAAGTAAGGAAAGCATGGTGTTTTGGAAGCCAAGAGAATAAAGGAAAGTAATAATGAACTGTTTCAAATATCAGAAGCAAAGTAGAGAAGCTTTCACAACATAGACAAAAAGTATCTTTCTCTGATGAATCACTAATTTTAGGGTGAAGACATTATTTTGCAATGACTAAAGACCTATTAATAACACAATTGAAAGATTTGAACATTCTGATTTTTATGTGCAGAAATCAAACTTCTTAGCCATTTATTTTAAATGTGCTCTTCCCACTATACAGAACATTACTCCAAAAATATATGTTCAAGGGCCGGGGATTTAGCTCAGTGGTTCCACCACCTGCCTTGCAAGCACAAGGTTCCAAGTTCAATCCCCAGCACCACCACCCCCCAAAAAACAAAACACACACACACACACACACACACACACACACACACACACACACTCAATTATTGAAATAACTACAGCTCCATTTATTATTTGAGTTTATTGGTACTTTTTAAGAAAATAGTTACATTCAACATTGGGACCTTGTTCCTTTACATGACAGATCTTAGTTCTCACTGCTCTTCCTTCAACCTTTCCACCCTCCCTTATTTACAAAGACTTTGTTTCCATTGCAGCTCCATATCTGATAGCTAAATTTTGCCAAACTTGAATTTTCCCCCATTTCTATCATTTGTTATTGAAAAGGTAATGATAAAAACATATGGCTCTGCCAAATCACAATATAAATACAAAAAAGCTTTTACATTAAAATAGATTTACAAACTATTTTCTATAAAATCTTGGATAACCACTTGGTTGTCTTCACTCTTTAATTTTTTGGCCTATAAAAAAAGATGCATTAAACACTAAGGTCTCAATTACCAATATTCTAAGTATTACCTGGGAAAGCTACAACTGGAGAAAGGAAAATAGGTACGTTCTAGGTATACAGTACAGTTACGTTCATTATTGGGATCTTGTACCTCTACATGACAGATCTTGTTTCTCATTTTTTCCCCTTGTCCCTGCCCTCCCTTCACGCCTCCTCCCCTCCTCCCCTCCGCCTTTACAAACACTTCATTTCCATTTTTTCACTTTCTCATATTTTTTTCTTTTCCCTTATTACCTTTCCCCCACCCTTCTCACTTTCCCTACACCTTTAGCCCCTTTCTTCCTATTTCACATTGTCCACTATATCATTAGGATCTTATGTACTATTATAGTTTATTCACACCAGAGAAACAATTTGGTATTTAGAGAAAGGAGTACTGGGGATTGAACTTGGGACCTTACAATTGCAGTCAGCAGTACCACTGAGCTAAATCCCCAGCCCGAAATCAGAAAATATTAAAGTTTAACTGTTCATCAAAACAAATTACACTTTGAGAGCTATCAAAATTAGAATTTATTAACCCAATGATATATCCAAACTGGGCCATCATCCATTGCCTTTTCCTTTATATAAAGGTTTATATGATGATGAGGATGGTGATGATAGGGACCAATCCCAGGACATCACACATACTAGGCAAGTTCTCTACTGCTGAATTACATACAACCTCAGCCTCTTAAAAGTTTTTTTTTTTTTTAAATAAAAGAGCAAAGCTCTGAGGGCATTAAAATAATGTATTTTTATTAATGCAAAATACAACTTAATATAAACCAGGTAAAGACAGAAGTTTTAATGCTTAAAGGCAAACCAAGATTTTTTTCTTTTTTTGGTTTTTGAGACAGGGTCTCACTATGTAGTTGAGACTGACCTGGAACTCACTATGTAGCCCAGGCTGGACTCGAACCCACAGCGATCCTCCTGCCTCAGCCTCCCGAGTGCTGAGATTACAGGCATGTGCCACCACGCCTGGCTTCAAATCAAGATTTTTTTAAAAAAACAGCCTTTGAATAAAAGAACAACACATGACTAATTGGGGCCACTGAATTAAAATACCACTATTTAAAAAGGGAAAAATATTTTTCTTGAAAGCATTGTTGTCAAAATCCTGTTGACAATAAGCTAACATATTTAAATCAATGTTAACATTTAAGACTAATCTGAAGCAAATAGTTGTGTGGCTTATGAGTAATATTAATGTTAGAAAATAAATATGTAACTCTATTTCCAACATTTACTTGTTTATCAACTAAGAGAATTCCCTAATATAAGATTTAATTTTAAAAAGATTTAATTAATGGGTACATTTTATTCTATGATTCTTGCTATCCTTGAGAAATTCTGAGAGAACCCAAAGTGGAGAGGGGTTGACTTTCATAGATTAATAAATGAAACTCACTACTTCAGAAAACTTGTTTTTTGAACCAAAAAGTAGCTACTCACCAAAAGCAGCAGCCATGGGGGGTTCAAGAGATGGCTGGCCATCACCAGAAGGAAGGTCTAAGCGAGTGAAGTCTCTGCTTTTGTCATTATTATATTTCACATTAAGGCTGGTGAGCTTGGAGAAGTCAATACGCAGAGTGCAGCATGCATTATAGATATTCTGGCCATCCAGAGCCTAAAGTATGTGACAAAGGCACTGATGTTTTGACAAGACAACATTGATAAATCAAATAGCCTTTACTTTGACACAGAGTAGCAATCAGGTAAAAGCAAGGAGCACAGAACTTAAAGACAAAGACCTAGGTCTTACTTTTACTTCTATCACTGACTCTAAGTCTGAGAAGAAAAAGAAAATCTGTCTCAATTTTCATCTGTAAAATTAGGATAAGAACATCTCTCTTACCTACAGTAGGATCAAATGAATAAAGAAATGTAAAAGGCTGTACAACTATGATGTAGTACTATAGAAATACTAAGCTACTATTATGGTCATTTTGCTTCTTTAAAACATTAGCAAACGTTTAAAAATATGTTAACTTCACATTCTGTCTTACTTAATTCACCTTAGTATAGTTTATACAGGTTAAGCTGAAACAACGCTTTTGTAAATGGTACTTGTCAGAGCCACAATATATAAAATATCATCTACAGCTTTTTTTCGTCTGTCAATTTATCTTGTGAAACTATGAATAAAGAAAACTCAGGGAAATTTGAGGTCGGTTGTAACCAAAGACCAGTCATCTCTCTCTTTGCAAGAATAAAAATTTACCAATGGGATATTTGTGGCTGACTATAGCTTCTATCGATACTTGAATTTATAAAAATAGATACCAGAAACCAAAGTACATACAAATAAGGTGAATATGAGTCATTATAGTCATTGACAAATATGCCATCATAATGGTACCCTATAACATATGCATGTAGAAGGTACAGCAAAAATAAGAGCTATATTTCTGAGAGCCAATACTGCACAGCACACGGAAGTATGATGCACTTTAGTTTCTATCTTTGAGCAGAAATTAGAAATGATTCAGAAACTGACACAAGACAATTAGATCTCAATAGATGTGTAAAATATTAATGTACCTGCCCCCCCACAAAAGACAACATGAATTGAGAGCAGCAAATTTCTTAACACTTAATGTCCTCACCAAAAGAAGTGAAATTAATTATTTGGCTAACTTAATTGAAATAAATGAAGGACAAAGGGTAAAAAGCTACTTTACTAGATTACATCAGTAATACCTGTGCTCAACTCCAGATTCTAAATATGACAAAAGGAGTAAGTCTATCAGTTCTCAGAGGTGGCAGATTCGAAATGATTTCCTTTAAATAAAGTATCTAACTTGGGCTGGGGATTTAGTTCAGTGGTCCCACAGCCTGCCTCGCAAGTGCAAGGCTCCAAGTTCGATCCCCGGTACCGAAAAAAAAAAAGAAAGTAACTAACTTTTAGCTTAGAAAAAAGAACATATGGATCTATACAGTTTAAAATGGTTAAAATAGTAAATATGGTGTTGTGTACATTTTACCATAATTAAAGAAAAGAAAGTATACTTAAGTATGATGTCTTTCTCTAGGTATACTAAAGTAAATGATTAACCACTGAAAACTGAAAAAATATTAATTACCATTTTGGCATAATGTGCATTCACTGGGTCAGCATACTGAAGCAGCGCTTGAAATTGATTATTCTTTGTAAAGGTGATAATCTTCAAGACTGTGCCAAATTTAGAAAATATCTGGAAAAAAGTGTAAAATATTTGTGTTTCAATATCCATGCCATGTCTTAAAACAGCGTCTGAAAAACAAAACACTCAAACAAGTAACCTATTTTTTTTCATAGCATACATAAATGACACATAGGAAGCTACAATAAGAATTAACTGATTATGGGCCAGGGATTTAGATCAATGGTACCGCTCGCTGCCTGTCTCGCAAGTGCAAGGTCCTGCCTTCAATCTCCAGTACCAAAAAAAGAAAGAATTAATTGATTGCATGGGATAGCTGTTACAAAGCATTAGAATGGAAGAAAGAGAGTCATTCAACTATTTTTCCCTGTTAATCAGCATCTACTTCTGAAGAGGTTCTGTAGAAAAAAACCAAAAGAGGTTTAACCATAAGGTGTTCTACTGTTTCAACAAATATTCACATCACAGGGCACTCTTCTAACCACTGTGAACTCAGGAGCGAACAACAGACAAAAGACACTGACTTTATGAAAAAAGATATACTTTACCTCACAATTAAATACTGATCATTTTTTCACATGCTTACTAGCTTTTAGATTATTTTCTTTGTAGAAATGTCTATTTAAGTCTTTTGCCTATTTTTAAAATGAATCACTTCTGTTTAGTTGTAGGAGTTCTTTATAGATTTTGGATATTTTTGGTTGCTTTTTTCGCTCTGTTGAATTGTGCTTTGATGCACAATTTGTTGCTGTTTTTGGTATGGGCATTGAACACAGGGCCTTCCCTCTAACTTACATCCCTAGATCTTTTTATTTATGTTTTTAATTTTAAAATAGGGTCTTGCTAAGCTGCTCAGACTGGGCTTGACTTTGCAACCCCCTGCCTCAGCTTTCCAGAGTGCCAGGACTGCAGATGTGCACCACCACAACCAGGTGATGCACAGAATTTTGAGGTGGTCCAGTTTATCTATTTTGTGACCTGTGTTTTACGATAGAGTCTGTTAAGGTTTCTTTCTGGTAAATAAAAAGCAAGACCAACTGCCTATTCAGGACACTGATGACATAATGCTTAATAACAGCAAAATCTAATCAGAACAGGAGATATTTAACCATTTTATTTACTTGGAAGTGATGGAATACATGAAAACACTATTGTGAACTACATCTGTATTGCACCAAGAAACTTTGTAGTACACAGGTTGAGTTTTCAGTTGGTAACAATTCAGCTCAGTGGTGCTGCCACCTGTCTCACAAGCGCAAGGTCCCAAGTTCAATCAAAGGAAAGAAGTAAGTAAGGAAGGTAGGTAGGTAGCTTATGGGAGGCTGAGGCAGGAGGATTACCAAATTCAAGCCCAGCTTAGGCAACTTAGGCTTAGGAAGACCTTGTCTCAAAATAAAAATTTTTAAAAAGTGGCTGGGGACATAGCTGAATGTTAAGGTTCTGAGTTCAGTCCCCAGCATTTCAAACAAACATGACGCAAGCTACAAAGGTACAGTAGCAAATGCAAAAACAAACTGCTGATGAATAACACAGGGTTCAATATCACTTTAGGGTAAACAGGAAAAAAGAAAATTCACCAGAACAATTAAACCAATTACTTAAGCAACTGGTGAACTCCTTTAGGGAACAACAGTGACTGTGAATAGTGTAAAGTCTTCCTTAGGACAAGCTTTACAAATACAGCTATTTTGGAAGTATAACAGATACTGGGAAATGAGAAGAGAATGTTCAACTGGGAAGGGCAACAAGGGAGGGAGGGGGAGGAAGGAAAGGACATGAAAAGTGAAAATAGAAGGAAAAAATGGAAACAAAGTTTTTGTACACAGTGAGGGGAATGAAGGGGAGAGAGGCAAGGGGCAGAGTATATCATGTGTAGGTGCAAATTCCCTATATTGAGTGTTATTGTGTATATCTAAAAGGTAGCAATAAAAGTTTTGTTTAAAAAAAAGCTGGGGATTTAGCTCAGTGGCACCACTCCTGTCTGGCAAACATATGGTTCTGAGTTCAATTCCTGTTACCAACAAAAACCAAAACCAAATAAAAAACCCAAAATGGTTGCAATGACCAAATAAATGTCAATAAAATCAGTTACTTACAAATAAAAGAAACAAAAACAAATACATCTACTTTGAAAATGGCACTCAGAAAACTACCAAAAGGGAACACAACCAGCCCATTAATGGTTATATTTAATTTTTATATACGTGGTACAAGATCATACTGTACTGGTAAACGTGTGCGCACTACATTAGTGTAACAGCTATGGGAAAATAAATGAACTTGTAAGAACTCCAATGTCCTTATGTGTAAAAATGTGAGAACAGGATATAACGTATTTCAATTTTTAAATACATATGCACACACATCTCCTACAACACAAAGAACAAATCAGAAGATATGACAAAGGTAAATGAAAGTAAGCATAAATCATGTTTTAATGCAGATATCACTTGTTTAACGACCTACTTAATGACTCTTCAGACTCACGAGCCATCTTTCTTTGTACAGTTCTGTACATCTTTAAAGAGCCTCAAAGTCTCTCTTTGCACAGTACACCTTGTTTATACAGCACTGTAATTTTTTCTGACTATACAGTAGTACAGTTTTATGTTATTAAATATAACAGTATTGCACATAAGAGTTATACAAATAAAAGCCAAGTCATCAAGTTGGAGCTTCCTTTAGCAATTTCTTTGTTCTGAATATCTCTTATAATGTATATTCTGCAAATGATTCCTAATTTAGCAACCAATTCAGCTAAAAACCTAGTCATAGGACTGGAACTCAGTCATGAAACCAAGAGTATCTGTATATGGGTTTGTAAGTACAATGAAATAGAGTTAACAGATAGCTAAACAAGACAAAAACTGACTAAGGTTTTGGAGCTAGATGTCAAACATACAGTTAGCAAATAAATGCATATTCTCAGGATATATAAGTATAGAATATTAGTTAAAAATATAGTAAGCATTCAAAAGTAAAACACTGGACTTTATATCAGGAGACAAGAGTTTCAAATGGTTCCTTATTCTCTATAATAGTCAATATTCACCAGTTATCTGAGTTTCCATTTTATTCAGAGGAACTTATTTAACTACATGACCTATCAGTTTTTTTTAGTTTTTTGGGGGGTGGCGGTACTGGGGATCGAACTCAGGACCTTGTGTTTTCAAGGCAGGCACAGTGCCACTGAGCTAAATCCCCAGCCCACAATGACCTACCAGTTTTAAAATTTAAAATATTATTAGCCATGTTTTGGCAAAATGTCTTTTATCAAGACCGTTCACGTATATTAAACTAGATAGTTTATACAGGTTATATTGAACCTCAGCCAATATTTAACATGATACATGTAATACAGCCATGATACAAATGAAGATTTATCAAGACTTTTTCATTTTATTTAAACAAATACATTATATAAAAGCAATAACGTAAAGAACTAAATATTACACATCAAAAGTTGCAAAATCCACATATGACTCTGATTTTGTAAGAGTACTCCTCCTTACCTGATGAAGAACTTCCAGAGTAACAGGGTAAAAGAGGTTTTCAATGATTATTCGGAGTACAGGACTCTGCCCAGGTAGGACTGTGGCTTCATTTGAAGGAGCTCCATGAAGGGCCAGATTTCCTGACTGGACAGCACTGACAGCCTGCAGTGCAGCTTGAGCTCTCTAGAGAACAATTCAAAATCAGTTTTTGATTACACAGAGGCATTATATGAATCCTAAAAGAAAAATGAGTTGATGTAAACAGTAAGAAGTAATAGGGATCCATATTCTATTTTTTTATTTTTTGAGTCAAAGTCTTGTTATTAGTTCAGGCTGGCTTTGAACTCACTGTGTGGCTCAGGCTGGCCTCAACGCACAGCAATTCTTCTGCCTTGGCATCCTGAGTGCTGAGATTACAGGTGTACATCACCATGCCCAGCCAGGGACCCATATTTTAAAACTAATACACATGTGTACACAAACACACACACACAAACACACACACACACACACTTTATCTGGACACACATATCCTGCTTTTAAGTAGACTAAGAGTTAAGACCCACCCTCTCATCGTAGTGATATAGTGTGTAAAAAAGTTGCTTAAAAGGCCGGGCATGGTGGTACATGACTATAGTCCCAGCACTGGGAAAGCTGAGGCAGGAGGATCACTAAAAATTTGAAACCATTCTGGGCTATATAGTGAGTTCAAGGCCAGTCAGAACCAAATAGTAGATTGACCCTGTCTTGAAACACCAAACAAACAAACAAAAAAAACCAGGTTGTGAAAGTTTATTTGAAAAGATGAAAAAATATGGGGAAAAAAAGAAAAATTTGGATGTAATTTTAATTTCCTAATTTAAAAAATACAACGGGAGGGCCTGAAAGAATATTAAAGAACACATTTTTAAAAGTCACTCAAGCTTGTCCTCTTTCACTCTTCTCTTTCTTTCCCTTCTTGAACAACCCAGTTCTAAAGCAGGTATGGCTTTAGAGTGGTATAAGGTGATGCAAACGAGGAGAGGAGGTACAGTGGTGGTTCACAGTAGGGACAGGGGGTCATCCACATAGTTAAGCCTCTTGAAATGAAACATCAGAGCCTGAACGAGGCGAGGAAAGCATATGGCAGGGCTGCCTGGCCAATAGGAACCTAAGCTAAAACAAGGTAAAGAAGGAATCTAGTGTGTAGGGGACTCAATGTTTTATATCAGAACCTAAGGAGCATGAGAAGAGTAAGGGCAACCAGGGGAAGGCAGCCTGGCAAGACACGAAGAGCTCAAGGACAGTCAGGAGGAGGTCCACGTGGAAAAAGGTGCCAGCGTGGCGAAGACAGCTTAAGTAAGGTAAAGAAGGGGTACCTAAGGAGGGAGTAAGGAGATACAGAGGCAAGAGCGTGAGCAGGCTAAGGAGGTAATTCAATGTAGGGATAAACCTGGCAAGGGTTACCAAGTATCCAAGAAAGGATAGGCAAACAAACTTCTAAATGTCATCCTCCACTAAAAGGACCTAGGGCATACTAACGCATGGCTTTTTTTCAGACAGTGTCTTGCTGTGTAGTTCAGGCTGACCTTGAACTCACTGTATAGCCCCCAAGCTAGCTTCAAACTCACAGCAATCCTCCTGTCTCAGCCTCCCAAGTGCTGGGATTCCAGGCATGCACCACCACACCCCGCCAAAAGATTATTAACAACCACTTTACAAACCTCTATGCTAATAAATGGGAGAATCCACAAGAAATTGAGAGATTCCTAGATATATATGAATTATGAAAACTGAACCAAGAAGATTTTAAAACCCTGAATAATCTAGTAACAGGCAATGAAACTGAAGCAGTTAGGAAAAAACCTACAAACTGAGAAAAGCCCAGGTCTGGATGGATTCGCTGCTGTATTCTACAAAAACATCAGGAAGATCTACCACCAATATTCCTCAAGCTCTTTATTGAAAGTTAAAAAGGAAGAAACAGTCCCAAAATCATAGAAGGTATCGCTACCCTCATTCCAAAACCAGACAAGGGCCCAACCAAAACAGAAAACTATAGGCCAATCTCTTTAATGAATATAAATTCAAAAATCCTCAACAAGATACTGGTAAACAGAATGCAATGAATCATTAAAAAGATCATATATCATGACCAAATAGGCTTCATCCACAGATGTAAGAACGGTTCAACACACACACATCAATAAAATTAATACATCAAACAGAAGCAAAGTTTAAAAAAAAAAATCACATGATCATCTCAAATACAGAAAATCCAACATCGTTTCATGACAAAAAAACACTAAAAAAATTGGTAAAGATGGACCTTATCTCAGTCTGATGAAGGCAATTTATGACAAATCTACTGTTAACATATTAAATGGGGGAAAACTGAAAGCTTTTTCTCTACAATCAGGAATAAGACAAGGATATCCACTATCACCACCCTGTTCAACGCAATGCTTGAAAACATTAGAGAGAGCAATTAGGCAAGAAAAGAAATAAAAGGAATGTGGATAGGAAAAAAGTAAAATTATCATTATTTGCAAACATATAAAAGACCCAAATAATCCACCAAAAGATTCTTACAATAAACAAATTCAGTAATGCAGCAGAATATAAAATCAACACATAAAAATCAATAGGGTTCCTATACACTAATAATGAACCCACTGAGAAAGAAATTAGGAAAAATAGCATTCACATTAGTACCAAGAAAAATTAAATACTTAGGAATTAACTAAACTAAGGAAATGAAAGACTTATACAACAAACACCACAATATGCTGAAAAATGAAATCAAGGAGGCCATCAGAAAATGGAAAGATAGTTCCAGATCATAGACAGGCAGAACCAATATAGTCAAAATGGCCATACTTCCAAAACTGATACACAGATTTAAGGTAATCGCAATCAAAATTCCACACAGTATTCACAGAACTGGAGAAAACAATCCTAAAACTCATATGGAACTGGAAGAGACCCAGAATAGTAAAAGCAAACCTGGGTAACAAAAGCAAAGTGAGAGGCACCTAGACCTGAAGTTGTATTACAGAAATACAAGTGGTACAAAAACAGACAGGAGGATCAATGGAAGAGCATAAAGGGTGCAGAAACAACCCCAAGGACATTCAACTATTTAATCTTTGACAAAATCATACAATGAAGGAAAGAAAGACACTTTAGTAAGTGGTGCTGGGAAAACTGACTACCCACCTGCAGAAGATTGAATCTAGACCCATGTCTCTCATTGTGTACTAAACTAAAATCAAAATAGACCAAGTAACTAAATATTAAAATAAAGACAACTTACTGGAAGATAAGATGAGTACAATTCTTGAGTCATTGCAGTAGACAAGGACTTCCTGGACAGAATCCCAGTTGCAAAGAAAATAGTACCAAGAATCAACAAATTGTAACAAATTAAACTTGGGCACAGCAAAACAAAAAACCCAACAGAATGAAAAGAAAACCTTTAGAATGAGAGGGGGAACTTGCCAGTTATTTCTCAGACAGACTAATGTCTTGAATACATAAACCACTCAAAAAATTAGTCCCCCAAAAAGACCAAATCAAAAAATGGGCAAGTGAAATGAAATGATATGTTACAGGAGCACAAGTGGCCAATAAATACAGAAAGAAATGCTGAACATCTCTGGCCATTTGAGAAATGCAAATTAACGAAATACTAAGACTCTATCTTAACTCAGAATGGCTATCAGCAAGAAATCAAGTAATAGGGCTGTGGATTTAGCTTAGTGGTTCCAGCAGCAGCGCTTGCCTCCCAAACACAAGGTCCTGAGTTCAATCCCCAGTACCGAAACAAAAACCAAGAAATCAATTAACACATGCTGGTAGGGCTGCGAGGAAAAAGGAACCTTTCTACACTGTTGGTGGGAATGTAAACTAGTACAACCACTATGGAAACCAGTATGTAGATTCCTCAAAAGACTAAACCTAGAAATTTCATTTGACCCAGTTATTCCCCTCCTAGGTATCCTCCTAAAAGCGTTAAAGATATCATGGCACAGTGATTTATGGCACAATACCCATGTTTATAGCAGCACAATTCATAACAGCTAAATCTCGGAAGGTGCCTATGTTCATCAACAGATTAATGGATAAAGCAAATGCAGTATTTATATACAATGGAGTACTATTCTGTCTAAAAGAAAGATAATTTAAAAATCATCTGGCCGGGCGTGGTGGCACTTGCCTATAATCCCAGCACTTGGGCGGCTGAGGCAGGAGGATCACTGTGAGTTCAAGACCCTGTCTCAAAAAACAAAAACCAAAACCAAAAAAAAAAAAAGTTATCTGTAGGAAAATGGATATACTTTGAGACCATAATGTTAAGTGAAATAAATCAGACACACAAGCTTAAATATCTCACAGCTTCTTTTATGAGAAACCCAAATAATAAATAAAAAGCAAAATAAAAGACAACAGAAAGTAGGGAGACAAATCTTTCTCAAATGAGAAGGGGATCAAAGGATGGAAGGAGAGGAAGGGAGAAGAGTGAAAGGGAGGGAAAGGGGATAAAAAAAAGAATTATGATGTGTTATATACATGTATTAATTCCACAGAAGGAGTGTAAACATGCATGCAAACAGGTACAGAGAGAGGGGGAAAGGGGGAGGAGGGAGAAGAAAAAGAGAGAAATGGAAGAATGAATGAATCAAATGAACTGCAGGTAAAACACAAGATGAGTGTGAAATATTTCTGTTATGTTTTTGTTTTAGTCAAAATGCAAGGAAGCATTGAAAAAACAATGAAGATATGTCAAAAGGATACTGAAGTTAACTTGAAAGGGCTCCTACTGGCCAAGTCTGGGATAATTTGAGCACCAAAATAAACAGTGTGTTTGTCTTAAAATACCTAATCACAAAATTCTATTCCTCCTTTTTTTCTTTTTTAATTTTTTCCTTTGTAGTGCTGGAGATGGAACCCAGAACATAACACATGCTAGGCAAGCACTCTACCACTGAGCTGTGTACCTCCAGCCCTATTCCTCTCTCTTCAAGTACAGTTGGCTCTCTCTATTTGCAGGTCCTGCATTCAACTGTGGATTGAAACTATCCAGAGAAAAAAATATTGCATTTGTACTAAACACATATGGACTTTTTTGAGTCATTAGTCCCCGAACAACACAGTATAACTATTTATACAGCATGTACACTATATTAGGCAATGTACGCAATCTAGAAGTGCTTTAAAGTATATAAAAGGATGTACACACATCACACACAAATATTACTTGATTTTATGTAATTGTCTTGAGCTTCCTTGGATTTTGGTATGGGGGAAGAGTTCTGGAATTACACCCATCTATGAATACTTAGGACAAATCTAGTGACTTTATAGAAACCAGGCAAACACCAGCCTAATCAAGTAACCAAAAAGCATGTTATCAGTAATAGAACTGAAATTCTATGCTACCTCTTATTATGTAACAAGAATACTATTTCCATTATATAACTAGTTGTCAAAGACATACCCTGAATTGAATCATGAAGAAACATGAGAAAAACTCAATTGAAAGATATTCTAGAAAATAAATTGTCTACACTTTTCAAAAGATTTTAAATCAGGAAAAGGAGATATACTTTATGTAAAATTTAAGCTTGCTAAAATAATATTCAGAAGACATTTCTAATGTCAAGAAGATATGAAATTAGCATACAGCAAATGTATAGTTCTTAAGCAATTAACCAGTTTTGGTTTCTTTAGGGAACATTTTTAAGGGGAAACCTTCCCAAGGTTCCACTCTTTGCAAATTTGTAAACTTCAAGAAAACCATATATACAGCAACTTCCATTAATATAATCACTTCTCAAATGTTGAATTTCCTGTCAGGTGTGGTGGTAGTGCACACCTGTAATCCTAGCACTGGGGAAGGGGGGGGCGGTGCTACAGCAGTAGGATTGCCATGAGTTCAAGGCCATCCTAGGCTACATAGTGAATACAAGGCCAGCCTGAACGACACAGAGAGACTCTGTCTCAATAAATCAAAAAACAAAAGCAAGAACAAAAACAAAAAAATGTTTAACTTCAAAACATGATTAAGTTTTATGATTATGATTTTAAGTTTAAATCAGGGAGACAAGCTGGGCATGGTGGCTCAAGCCTGTCATCCCGACACTCTGGGAGTCAGAGGCAGAAGGATCAAAGCCAGCATGGATCTAGTAAGACCCTGTATCTAGCAAGATCTAGTAAGAAACATAAAAGGGATGGGCATGTTGCTCAGTATGAACGCCTAGTCCAGGTTGGGGGGGGGAGAAAGAAAGAAAGAGAGAATTACTTGATATTTATCAGTCAATCTAACAAGAATGCCCATGGGTTAGAAAGAAGTTGCGTGTATGTGTTGGGATAAACTTCTATTCAGAGAACAAAAGGAAAAGAAACTCATCTATTAGTTTCCTGGGGCTGTTTAAATACAAAGAAAAATGGTACTTTTATATATGTAAACAGGCACCTTCAATTTTTATTCATGTTTGTTGCAGAACCTTAAATAAAACATTTTATGAAAGATAAATGCACAAAAATTGCATAAAAATAACAAAATGGAAATGGTATGAGAAGGAAATCAAGGCTATCTAAGAATAAACTAGGTCATCTGGGCAGCTCTGGTTGCCAAGCAACTGGAATTTCTCATTGTTTTCCTTTGGAATAATCCAATCTTTAAGACTTTTATTAAATTATTTTGTCTTCTTGAAGATTTTTACTGATATACTTAGGAATACACTAATGAGACAAATGAAAGACTTGAAAGAAAATTTAAAACTATTGAGAGATGTAAAAGAAATAAAATATAACTTCCTTCTCAAAAGGATCAGAGAGCAGTATGTACATTATTCCCAAATTAATTTATAAAGTCTATGCTATTCCAAATGTATTTTTTAGGCAACAAGAATTACCAAATAAATTCTAAAATATAGCTTGAGAGATAAACAAGAAATACTGGTTAATTTCTAGAGAGACAGTATTTTACCCTACAATACATTTGCTACAATGTACACTGGAGAATGGAGCAGGAACGGAGAATACAATACAAAAGCTAGTTCAGGTTAGACATGGTATGTGTGCCATTTGAGCAGTACACCCAAGGGCAGACTAAGACACACAAGCAGAATGTACAGACATGTCTAGTAAGTGTGTATGCCTGTGTCTGTCTACTGTAAGCACATATGATATGTAGATGGAAAACTAAAAATACAAATCCATGAGTATATAATAAATGCATTATTAAAAAAATAAATATATCTTGGATTTAAAAAAAGACTAAAGCCCTATATACACTCTCCACATTCAAACTATTCCTAATACAACAAAGTTTTAGTTTTAATATTTGCAGTACATGTTTACATTCCTTGTGTGGCGTTCAGACATGTACGTAACACATCATAATTCCTGTTTTCATCCCCTTTCCCTCTCTGCCCTCTTGCTTTCTTCATCTCTTGATCTCCTTTCTCACTGAGAAAGATCTTCCTACTTCTATTAGCTATATTTTATTTTGCTTTTTATTTGTAATCTGGGTTTCTTATATGAAAGGAATCATGAGATTTAGGCTTACATCCATTTCATTTATGGTGTGAAGGTGTATCCATTTTCCTAAAAATGCCTTGAGTTTGTCTTTCTTTATGACAGAATAGTACTCCACTCTGTGTAGATTTTCTTTATCTGTTCATCTGTTGATAGATATATGGACTGCTTCCAAACTCTAGCCATAATGAATCACACTATTATAAAGATGAGTATGCATATGATATAATGTGATGACAAAGATTTAAACATCAAAATAAAAGTAACCAGCTGGGGCTGGTGGTGCATGCCTGTAATCTCAACACTCAGGACACTGAGACAGGAGAATCATCTGGAGTCAAGCTAGACTACATATTGAGTCCAAGGCCAGCCTGGACTATGTAGTAAGACCCTGTTTCAAAAACCAAAATAAACCAACCAAAATACACAAATATTACAATACAGTTCATTTAAATCTTAAAGATTGTATTATGATAATCTTTAAGAGTTTACCAGATGTTTAAACACATTTTTTAATTACATAAGCAGAAAACTTCATAGAGACTGAAAGAAAAATGGTAGGTCCCAGAGACTAAGGAGAGGAGAGAACAGGAAGTTATTATTATTATTACTATTTTTTTTTTGGAGGCAGGGTCATCGCCCTTTGTAGTTCACACTGGCCCTGAACTCAGTATGTAGCCCAGGCTGACCTTCAACTCACAAGAGATTCTCCTACCTCGGCTTCCCAAGTGTGGGATTACAGGTGTGCATGACCACACCCAGGGGGAAGTTATTATTTAATTGACAGACAGTTTTAGTTTGGGATGATGAAAAAGTTCTGCAGAGGGATGGTGGTGGTGGTGGCTGTATAACTATTTGAATGTACTTAACCCTACAGAAACATACACTTAAAATGGCTGAAAAGAGAAATTTTATATTATATATAATTTTAAAAGTAGCAGGAAATTGCATTAATAGAAATATAGTACATTACTAATTATTAAATAAAAGTAAAACAATAATATATAATTTCTCATTTGTCATATTAACAAAGATAGGTGGGAAAATCACTAGCCCATACACTATCAGTAGCAGTAAAAACTGCAGACACATGATCTTTATAAAAAATACTCATGTAGTATCTATAATACACTTTGCATGCATATATCAAATGTAATATATGCACATGGTTTGTCCTAGCAATTTTACTCCCAGAAATGTAGTAAGATAATGCTGTAAATATACTAAAAATGTGTTATTTCAGAACTACTTATAAAAGCACAAAACAGAAAACAACTTCAATGTTCACCAAAAGAAAAACAGATAAACCAGGACTCTCCTAAATAAAGGAGTAACATACAGCCATTGAATACTGTAATTACAAAGTGACTCTCTATGTTAAGAAAATATGACCATAACATCAAGAAAAGGTTTCAAAACATCAAGATTCTTTGTTTACTTTATGGTTTTTTCTGGCACTAGACAACTGAACCTAGGGCCTTGGCACTGAACTACAGCCCCCAGTCCTCCCTCTCCACCTTTTAAATTTTTTATTTTGAGCCTGGATCTTGCTAAACTATTAAGTTGACCAGGCTGAGCTTGAGGTTGCAATCCTCCTACCTCAGCCTCGCAGAGAAGTTAGAATTACAGGCATGCATTATACACCCAGCTTTAATATTTTTTTTTATTATAGAAATAGTTTCAAAGAAAAGACAAAATTATCTATCATTTCTAATACCAAAACTTCAAATATATATTTTTTCCAAATTTCTAAATGGCACTCACTGCCTTTACTCTTAGGCCTTAGGAGAAATTATATACACAATCTTGAGTAATAATATATCCCAAAATGTAGAAAATGACACAGTTCCTCTCTAATGTACAGAAAATTAATTTAAAGTTATGATATCATGTGTTCTTATGCTTATGTATACAGATGCCTTTAATACTTACAGCTTGATTAGGCAGACTGTCAGTCTTAAGTTCTCTGTGATTGGAATACTGAATATAAACAGGCTGGCTTCGAAGATGAGGGGTAACTGGAGTATAATAATTTACCATAGTAACAGCAGCTTCCTCAGAAGCCATTTCTAAGAAAGCCTGCAATACAAGAAAGTCAAGTTAGTGCTTTTTTGAAAGACAGTTAAGAATTATTTTGTCATTCTAGCTTGCTCAAAACTTATGCCTTTGGTGGGGGGGCAGAGATTGAACTCAAGACCTTGTGCTGGTGAGGCAGGCAGCAGTTAACACTGAGCTACATCCGCAGCCTGAGAAATAAAACATCATTTTATTTTCCTGGTATTGGGGATTGAACTCAAGACCTTGAGTTTGCAAGGGAGGCATGGCACCACTGAGCTAAATCCCCAGCTCATGCCCCTCTCAACAGAAATGGCACTGCCCCCAGCAGAAGCAAAAATTTTGGCTTCAAAGTGTATTATGGATACTACTTAGAAATACATTTGAAAAGCTGGGTTGGTTCAATAAAGGATTTGGACTTGGAAAATTGTCAGTTGATTAAGATTTTATATGGTTTCTGGTTTTCTTATTTGTTTCTTCTAAAATGCAAAAATAATTTAAATGGCAGGGGTGTGGGCATAGCTCAGTGGCAGAGTGTTTGCTGAGCATGAATGAGGCCCTGAGTTCCCCTGCCAGCACAGCACTGGAAGGGAGGAAGATATTAATTAATAAGGCAAAAATGATGGTTAAAAGATGGTGAATATTTAAATTTTAAAATTTACTAAAACGAGGGCCAGGGATTTAGCTCAAGGGCACTGTGCCTGCCTCAAAAGCACAAGGTCCTGTGTTTGCTCCCCAGTACCGCAAAAAAAAAAAAAAAAAAAAAAAAAAAAAAAAAATTACTACAGTGAAAGACACATTGCTTTAATCTCCCTCAAAATACTCCCCCTTTCTTTGAACACACTTATCCCATCATTCCTGGCAATGTCTTTTACTTCACTAAGTTTTTCTTTAAATTTACATACTCACGATATCTACTGGTCATCCCTTGCATATATTTTTATGCTTATATACATGTACATAAATGCCATATCTACAAATCTATGTCACATATGTGAAACTATTACCAGAAAACAGTAGGACTTGGGGAATATCACACTTTGATTTAAATAACTCTAGACTTTTAAATATTTTTCAGTGAACATGTAAAATATTTCTAATTTTTAAAAATTTCCCAAAGAATATATTAAGCATTCTTTAAAATGATATAAAAATTCTAGTACAAAACAATGGGAAATCATATGTGCACTGTTGACAGATAGCAGTATCTTAAGGTATCAAGGGCTCACTCAATTCTAAATCTTCTCTATCCCCCCAAAACCTGTGAAGAAAATTTTTCTGTCACATTACCCTAACAATGACCCACCAAAACCCATCCCAAATCACAAACAAACATTGCTTTAGCTAGTGCTCTTAGGACTTAAATTCATTTCTAAGTGTTGAGGCTTTTTAAAAAATACATACATACACTACAGTTCACATATGAACTGGAGATATTCGAAAATAGAATGGCTTCTAATATCCTAAATACAGAATATTCTTTAAAAAGAGGTGATCAACTATTCAAATTACAAAAATAGGGGGACTTCTTACATTCAATATATCAATTTGAATCATTCAAATGACACTTGATATCTATAATCATCGTACTAACATTAGTTATCTGAAGAATTACATAGGAAAAGCCAAGATGGAAGAAGATCCTTGATATTTACAACTTACTCAATATTAGCTTATGTCATATTCAAGACTTATACTAGCTGTGAGCACTCCTAAGACTTTCGTGACAGGAGTAAGATACTTACAGAGCTTTAAGGTAGTGGTATTCTGGCCTATTTTAATGGCTGATGAGGAAGATAAATATAGATATATTTTAACCATTTTAAGCACTCAGAACTGCCGCTTAGAATATCTCAAATTTAAAATGTAGGAATAGCCAGGCATGGTAATGCATGCCTATAATCCCAGGCCTTGGGAGGCTGAGGCAGGAGGATTACTGCAAGTTCGAGGCCAGCCTGGGCAACAGTGAGTTTAAGGCCAACCTGAACTACACAGTGAGGCAACCGAAAGAAAGAGAGCAAGGAGATGGCATGGAGATGGGGAGGAGATGGGGAGAAGGGGGCATTGGAGGGAGGCAGGCAGACAGAGCCGGAGATTTAGGCAGTTCCACCAACTGCCTTGCAAGCGCAAGGTCCCAAGTTTGATACCCGGTACCAAAATTAACACAAATTTCTAGTCAGATAATCCTTCATTATCATTATAAAATATTTCAGTAGCAAGCATATAGCAACCACACTAAATACAAAACATTTAAAATTAATTTATAAAATATGTTAGATTTTATTAAACATGGGAAATGGCAAATTTCTATAAATCCATCTCTTTGTTTATAGTCACCTTAACTGTCAGATGTTCCACATGAAATTCAGTAAAGGAACATTAGCTTGAAAAATGTTAACTATGATATATAAATACATCAACCAAATGTGATGATTCAACCAATTAAATGATTCAACTGAACAACAATTTTCCATGAAGTAGTTATGTTAGCCCATGATGGTGGATCAAATACCACAAATCAGTCCATAATAAATAACATTCTATGATCTTAAAGGAACAAAATTGGCTTCAGGTAATTTATACATTTAAATGGTACAAATATCCATGATACTAACGTTCACTGTATGGGGAGAGAGCTTATTTCTGCTAGCTCCTTGCTAAGTGTTAAGAACTAATTCAATTTCTAACAGTCATTAAAATGAAAAGCTAAACAATGTTTTTGGGATATATTATTTCAGTCATATGAAGTTTTTCTAAGTATGATCTAACATTTCATATGTATGAATTTTCCACGTGAATCTAGTAAATAAATTATTCAAATTAGTTTTTCCAAAGTCAAAGTCAGTAAAAAAATTTAATTTTCATAATGTGGAAAGGAGAGACAACCAAAAGTCACTACACAGAAGGCAAGTGAACATAACCCAACTCTATCCCTAACATTCTACTTCCAAATATTCTAGGAAAGGTTATGGGCTCACAAGTGGTTCTAGTGACTTAAGGACTAAAAGGTATAACAGATAATGTGAAATAGGAAGAAAAGGGACAACGAGGAAGGGAACAGAGGGAGGGGAAGGGGAAAGGAAAGAAGGGAATGGAATTAATATGAGAAAATGAAAAATAATGGAAACAATGTCTTTGTAGATAGGGAAAGAAGGAGGGGTTGAAGGGAGGGCAGGGGAATGGGGAAAAAATAAGAACCAAGACTGACTATGTAAAGGTACAAATTTCCACAAATCAATGTCATTATATTGTAACATTAAGTGTACCAATAAAATTTATAAAAAAATAATTTCTTATTGAAGTGTATGAAGACATATTTTCCAGGGCTGGGAATTTAGCTCAATGGCCCCACTTGCCTCACAAGCACAAGGCCCCGAGTTTAATAAAAAAATATATATATTTTTTTCTAAATGGGTTTTACGGTCAAAAGACAAGCAATTAATGTAACAGTTTCAATGAGCTTACAAATAAACATAGAATCAATAGTACAGACAAAAAGATGTGACTACCCTATTGTCTGTCACAGATAATTAACCACTACCATACTATTCTCCATAATAGCAACTGTGTTAAAGATCTAAGACAGAGCTATGTACCACCTCCAATAGACATGTCAGAACAAAGGCGGAATACTACAGCATGTTATTTAGTTAACTTCTCTGGATCTTCGCAACTTCATCTGAATTAAATAGGGATACTAATTAAGTAGTTTGCTTGAAAAGTTAACTGAGAGGGCCAGGGATTTAGCTCAGCGGTTTGGTGGCCTGCCCTGTAAGCGCAGGGACCCGAGTTCAATCCCCGGTACCAAAAAAAAAAAAAAAAGAAAAGGTAACTGAATCTGATATCATCCAATCTCTTTCATGCCCACATTTACCAATCTATTTATAAATGTATTTATAATATATTTGAGCATTATTTCAAAAAGTAGACAGTGACATATCACAATGTACTACACACCTTTCTAGGTCCTAAATTTGGTATCTTCTTTCTTCCTTATTTATTATTTTGCAATAATGTTCAGTACAAAAGGCTTTCAGGACAACCAAAAATTGGGAAAGAACTAAAGAATTCATTGCAATGGAGTCTGAGTTGGAATAAGAAAGCCTACAATTATTCAAATCATATGACAAATACTGCCAGGCAGGGCTGGGGATTTAGCTCAATGGCGCTGCAGTGGTGCATGGTTCTGAGTTTGATCCCTGGCAATATATACATATATGGCCAGATATAGTGGCTCACTCCTGTAATCCCAGCAATAGAAGGCTGAGGCAGAAAATCACAATGACTTCAAGCCCAGGTGAACTACAAAGGGAGGCCCTATCTCAATAAATAAACGAGTAAACAAAAATATGACAAATGTTATACTTCTGTCATGGTCACCAGAGAATCGAGTTTCCTCAGTCATCTTTGAAATGGGTAAGGATTTCCCACTGCCCAAGAAAACACAAGAAACAAAAATTGAAAGAGACAAATAGGGTTACATCAAGCTAAAAAGCCTCTAGACAACAAAGGAAACAAAAGAGTGAAGAGACAATTTATGGAATGGAATAAAATAATTGTAAATTAACCATTTGACAATAGGTTAATATCCTTAATATATATAATTCCAAATACATAACTCCAAAAACTCAATAACAACAAAACCCAATTTAAAAAGTGGCAATAGACATAATCAGACATTTCTCAAAATAAAACCTATAAATGATCAACAAGTATATATATGAAAAAGTGTTCAATATTATAAAACTTCAGAGAAATGCAGATCGAACAACAATGAGATGTTACCTGACTCCAATAGAAATGGTTATTATCAAAAAGACTAGGGGGCTGGGGATTTAGCTCAGTAGTGCCAACTCCTGACTCACACACACAAGGTCCTGAAATTTGATCCCTGGTACCAAAAATAAATAAATAAATAAATAAAAATAAAAATTCATGGTGGTGCATGCCTGTAGTCCCAGGACTTAGGAGGCTGAAGGAGGAGGATTATCATTAGTTCAAGGCCAGTTTGGACTACACAGTGAGTTCAAGGCCAGCCTGAGCCTCAAAAATAGAAAAGCAAAAAAGATCACAGTGTAAGATAAGAAGGTGAAGAAAGGAGAACCTTTGCACCATTACTGGAAAAAAACGAACACAGACATTATGGAAATCAGTAGGGAGATCATTTCATGTGAAAGAGACCAGGCACGGAAAGAAAAATAGTGCAAGATCTCAGCTGTGTATGATATCTAAAACAGTTCATTTCATACATGGTGAGAGTAGAATGGTGGGTACCAGAGCCTAGGGAGAGTGGCAGAGAAGAAAAAATGGGGAAGCAGTCAGTGATCAATGGGTACCAAGCTGTAAGTAGCAGTAAAACGTTCTAGTGTGCTACTGTACAGCAGACTGACTACAGATGATAATATACTGTATAGTTCAAAAAGCTAGAAAAAAGGATTTTAATTGTTTTCACCAAAAAGGAATGATAAATAGCTGACTATGGTAACACAGGCCTGTAATCCCAGTACTGTGGGAGGCTGAGGCAGGAGGATCAAAATTCAAGTCCAGCCAGGACAATTCATCTACTTAGTGAGATCCTATCTCAAAAAAAGGGCTGAGGATATAACTTAGGACAAAGGCCCTACATTCAATCCCAGTCATTCTCCCACACACACACACAAACACAGAAAAATAAATAAATTTTTAAAATTTGAGAATACTTATTTATGAATTTAGATCTGGGGATCCAACTGAGGACCTTGTATTTGCCAGGCAGGTGCAGCACCACTGAGCTACAACCCTGGCCCAAATATGTATTTAATTTAAACATTATACAACAGATAAATATTTGTGTCAAATGAGGTATAATTTACATCCTATCAGGGCTTTCTAGCAATCAGGATATTTTCACAGATCATTCTATAATATGAAATAAAATAGGAAATCTTTCTTGATAAGAAAATGACTAAGTAAAAACTAATACTGTTCCCTGTATTAATATTTTTGTTTGCTGTTTCTTTTCATTTAAAAAAATCTACTTTAAGGGCCAGGGATTTAGCTCAGTGGTTCTGGCGCCTGCCTCACAAGCACAAGGATCCGAGTTTGATCCCCAGTACGAAAAATAAATAAATAAATAAATAAAACTTAAAAATCTACTTTAAAAACTTATTTTGGGGGCTGGGGATTTAGCTCAGTGGTTCTGCCACCTGCCTGGAAAGCACAAGGACCTGAGTTCAATCTCCGGTACCAAAATAAATAAATAAATAAATAATAAAAATAAAAACTTATTTTTGATAATAGAATGAAATTAAGAAGTTCAAATAAAATCAGCTATAACACCCTGGAGATAATTACTCTGCATCAATCTTTACATATTACATACCTGGCTTTTTCCTTTCAACATCAAAAGGTTAGTTACTTTGCCAAACGGAAGACCTAAAGATATGACCTCCGCTTCAGTGACATCACATGGAATTTTTCGAAGATGGAGAACACGGGAAGGCGAAGAGGGAGGTCTATCTCCTTTAAATTTCTTGTTGTCATTCCCATTAGCTGAAAGACATAAGATTTTTTTTTCTTAATTACTGAAACTAATTTGGGTTCACATGGCACATTAACTATACTGTCACATTTAATCCTCAGAGTTTCATATTTAAAATTCAGCGAACTGAGAACTGTTTGACAGGGAAGGAGAGAAGGAAAGTGGTAAACAAAACCAACCACCTTTCAAATGAAGTCTTTTTATTTTCAGTTACTAAATTTTAAAAAATTGAGTACTAATTTTTAACTTTAAGAAAAAATATTAAGGTTAACAATCACAGTTTCAAATACACGGGCCAGGGATTTAGCTCAGTAGTTCGCCACCTGCCTCACAAGTATAAGGAACTGTGTTCGATCCCTGGTACCACCCCCCAAAAAAATCAAATATAGTCACTTATAGCATAATGAGCATATGACTACCTATCAGTCAGTCAATGGTCTCATAAGATTATCAGGGAGCCAAAAAATTCCTACTGGCCTAGGAATTGTCCTGTTGTAACAGAATGCATTACTCATGTGTTTGTGGAGTTGCTGAAATAAATAAACCTACTGTGGCACCAGCTGTATAAAACTACAGCACACATAATTATCTACACAATACTTGATAAATGGCTATGTTAGTGGTTTATGTATTTAGTAGGCTATACTAAATTTTGGTCATTATTTTAGAGTGCATTCCTACTTATAAAATAAATAAAAAGTTAACCACAAAACAGCATTAGGCAGATCCTTCAGGAGGGATTCCAGAAGGAGGAAGAGAGCACTGGTTACAGGAGAGAAGAGAACTGGTGTGGTATAGCCCATGAAGACCTTTCAGTGGGATAAGATGTGAATGTGTAAGGAATGAAACTGATAATTCTAACCCTCACATTTAAAAAGTAAAATAAAAGACTTTTGAAAATATAGCCAAAACAACCATAAAATTAGGATATAAAGAAAAATATCTTTATGTGGCTGCATAATCTGCATTTTGAATGTTATTATAAAAAGCTAAAAAATGTGTTAAGTTCATAAAAAAAAAAAAAAAAACTTACAGTATGTGACGATTAAGCAGTTTTGTCAACTTGACTGACTTAGGAGCCACCCAGGGAACTGGTGGAACAAAATTCTGGGTGTGTCTGGGTAGGTCATGGAAGTGTGACCTTCGTTACCAAATCTAGTCCTTCACCTTTTCCTCTTCGGTGGTATTCCCCTGCTCTGCTTTCCAAATGCCATGAACTAAGCAATTTTGCTTTACTGCACCTTGGAGCCAACAAACCATGGACTGAACCCTGGGAAACCATGAACCAAATTAAACCCCTCTTCCTTTAAATTGTAGGTATCAGGTACTATATTCCAATAACAGAAAAGCTTACACACAGCTAAGATTTATTTATTATTGAAAAAAATTTTTTTTACAAATTTAGTATACCATTATATGTACAGTGTTTATAGTCTATAGTAAGTGTAGTCTGCAATAGTGTGCAAAAGTGTCTTAGGGCCTTCACATTTATTCATCACTCACCTGATTCAGGCACAACACCTTTCTGGTCCTGCATTCCTAGTAAGTGCACTTCTATTCAAGTGTGTCTTTAGATACACATACCATTACAATTGTCTGCACTATTTAGTACACTGATACATAGTATGGGTTTGTAGCACAGGGCAAATGTTTACACTGTATAAATAGATGCTTAATAAGTAAATTATACAATCTAAATTTAAGGAAATTCAATAATGTTCCCTAAACAATGCTGAAACTGCCCATAATGCACTTCTCAGAAATTATCCCAATCATTAAGTATAGCTAAGTGTATTTAAATACTTAATTTGTTATGAATAGAGAATATGTGTGATATTTTAAGGTATTTTAAGATTGTTTCCTACTTTTTTCTATTGCTATATAGTATAATTAAAATAAACTGAAGGAAAGACTAAGATTTATCACATCTAAGGATATCTCCATTTAAGCTATATGCTTATGAAAATTAAGTTTTTTACACAGTACAGATTTTATTAGTCTATTTATTAAAAGCTAAGTTGTAGTATATGAGAATATTATTTATTAGGTAATAAAAGTTCTTAACATGAGCACCACCTTGTTGAAAATGCAAATTTACAACCTCATCCCAGACTGACTTAAATCAGAGACTCTATGAGTGGTACAGTTTAATATTCTACAGTGTAACAGTAACTCCAGGTGATTCTGGTTTTGCCTGAACTATGAGAACTGCTGCTATAAAATAAATTTATTATGCCAGCATACAACTAAAGTTCATTTAAATCCTATTGCTCAAACACTGATAACTAGAATTGACAAGCCTGAAACAAATATTCGTATTTATGTAAATAAAATTCAGAAATGTCTTTCTTCCAGACATACCAACAGGAGGACTGAATATAAATTATTTAAAAGCCAAATTTTTGTTACAATGCTTTTAAATAGCATTTTTGCCCTTATCTGGAAAAAATACAATCTTTCTAAACACCTGAAAAATATTTTTTTAATAGCACATTTATTGGTACGTTCCAGGCATACATAATGGTAACAGGGAATTTGCACCTGTACGTGGTACATCCCACCTTTTCCCCCCACCACACTCCCTCCCCACAAGCCCCTCCTCCCAAAAGCTTTGTTTCCATTTTTCCTTCTATTTTCACTTTTTTTCCTTGTCTTTTCCTTCCTTTCTCTCTCCCTACTCCCTTGTTCCCATTCCTACTTGAACATTTTCTTCCCATTTTCTAATATCTATTATACATTTTAGTCCTTATTGAAAAAACGTATTTTTAATGAAACTTTACAATCAAATGTCTGGGATTTTAAATAAACAAATATCATGAAAACCACATAAAAATTAATGTGGTACTATTTTGTACCCCCCTTTGTGACAGAACTCACAACTTACTTATAGCTGAATAGGTTGACTTAATTGCACTTGCTCCCAAATTCTCTCAGCGAAGAAAGCATCCTGTCTGTCCAAACCAAGACTTCAGACTGCTAGAGGGCCAGACAGTTCCGTGCCTTCATATAGTATATCCTGTGGTCAGTTTATTAATAATGGGCATTCAAGTATTTATGCGATGAATTGATTTGGGAGACAAGAGATTTCTTTTCCTCTATTTTATCAGTCACCAAGATATATGGCTTTTCTCCTCCAAAATGACTGATTAAAATACTTTCATTTCTACTTTCACTATCACCAACCTCACTCTGATCTTGTCTCTTTTTGCTTTCTCTTCCTTTAGTTTCAGAGTTCACCAAGCTGTTACCCAACTCTAACACCAGGACAGACTTCCCCTGACCTGTTAGTTTCTAGTTTTTAAGCTATTTTCACTTAAATTGCCTCATTTGAGTACCATAAATATCCTAATCACCGTCTAAAGGTTTGGTTTTTAAAATTTTTTATCTAATTGTAATTTTCTTTACTGTGTCATAAAAGACATTTTAATGTTATAAAAATTAGAACAAAAGGCTTTATGTAAAAGCCATTACATTGCACTTATTTTTCTTTGTTCTTTATCTTGAGGAACCTAAGGAGAGAATGGCAGAGGTGGGAACTGATTCAGGTGACTCTAAAGCCCAGGGTACTGACTGAGCTTTGAGAACCCTGAGGATTCCACAAAGGGGATCTCCGCAGGTACAGGTGGGGTCTGGAACCCTTTGATCCTATTTAGAGACAGTGGTTCTGCTTCTATGACATTTTATCTGAAGAAAGGATTTCAATACTTTGAAACACAGGAAAAGAAAGCAAGCCTGCCCAGCCTTGGGTTGAGGATATGGGAAAATGCTGCCTCCCAGGATCCCATCAGATCATCCAGGTTGCTATATTCCAATTTAAATTTAGGTTTTTTTTCTCTAGGGACATGGGGAGCTCTTCAGGACTTGGGAGCAAGGGAGAAAATACATTGGGGCTGCGTTTAACATGTTCACAACAGGGCCGTCATTCCCATGTCTCACTGCTGCGCAGCACAAACTACCAGTGATACACGTATGACATACATGCTTCAGCAGCTTTTATTAATTTTATTAGTAAAAAGACCGAGAAATGTGACTAGATCTGTTTGTACCACCAGAGGTGCAGGCCACCCGACAGGACAGTCATGCACGTACCACCAGTGGCTCAGCCAGCAGGAACGTGGTAAGGGTGACTACTCAGGTGGGAGTGAAGCAGCTGGACCGACCAGGAAGGAACAAGCAGCAGCAGAGAACAGGCATTTCTGGCATGAGAGGTGGTGAAGGGGCCCTGCCTGAGTCACAAGGATGCTGAGGACAGTACTCCCAAATTCTCTGGGGTGATGCCAGTCAGAGCCAGGCTCTCAGGCCGGATATCTGCTTTTTTGTCCAAATAAGCTAATCCTTGGGCAGCTCCCGGGCACATGAGAGGTGCGGGAACCTGACCTGCGGCGCCAGCTGGCAATCCTCGATCAGGCCCTGCACCAAGTAGCAGCAAGCTTCACCGAGCAGCTCCCCAAGCTCTCTGGTACTCTCAGGTAGTGGAATGGACCCATCCCAGCAGGTAGTTGAGGATCGTACCAAAATGGCGGCCGCCCCGGTCAATCAACACCCAACCTCCAGCGACGGTGAGCAACTGCACGCGGCCGCTGAACATGGCTTTGAGCCTGGTGCCTTGGCCCTTGAGCGTGCGGAGCGTGGTGTAGTGCAGCAGGCCGCCCACGTTCAGCTTCACGTACTTGCTGTTCGGGGTCAGGGGCTTCAGACCGAAGGCGAAGGCGGCGACGCCGGACTCCAGACCAGAGGGCTCCGCGGCTTCTAGGGCCGGGGCTGCGGCGGCCACGGGCTCGGAGGCCTGGGCCGACATGCCGGGTGGGGGTGGTGGCGGCACAATCTAATCGCATTTTATCTGCAGTGCTGGTACTTAAATCCAGGATCTTCACACTGCAGTAAACCCTCAGCCCTTTATTTTTATACAGGGTCTTGCCAAGTTGTTAAGTTACCCAAGCTGGGCTCAAATCTGCAATCCTCCTGCCCCCACCCGAATCTAGGTATCTTAACACACCTACATAAGGATAAG